ATCGAGCGAACAATGAAGGTATATGTGGACTACATGTTGGTGAAAAGCCTCGTTGCAGCAAACCACATTGACCACCTTCAAGAAACTTTCAATGTTCTCAGGTCATACTGCATGAAGATGAATCTAAAGAAGTGCACCTTTGGCATAGGGTCAGAAAAATTCCTAGGCTTTATGGTCAATTAGAGGGGAATTGAAGCGAACCCAGACAAGATCAAGTCTATTCTAGAAATGAAGTTGCCTTCCTCGACCAAGGAGCTCCAGCGTCTTAATGGGAGCATTACAGCACTCAATAGGTTCGTTTTTAAGTCTGCAGACAAATGCTTGCCTTTCTTCAAGATTCTCCAGAAAGTTTTCGAGTGGGGACCTGAGGCTGAGGAGGCCTTTCAAAAGCTCAGTCTACTTGGCTATGCCCATTTTCCTTTCACATGCCACACCAGGAGAAATATTATATCTATACATTTTTGCTTCCTCGTCGACGATAAGCTTCGTTCTCATTAGGAACGATGATCTCGCAAAAGCCCATCTATTATGTGAGCAGTGCATACTGAGGAGCAGAAATCAGATATTTAGGGTTAGAAAAGCTTTCACTCGCCCTCATTTCAATGGCTAGGAGTCTACGACATTACGTCCAGAGTCACACTGTGGTTGTGATCACAAATCAGCCTATAAAAAGAGTCTTGGGAAAATCAGATGTATCTGGGAGACTCCTCAAGTGGGTAGTGGAACTGGGGGAGTTTGATATTCAGTACTAGCTAAGGATGACCATCAAAGCACAGGCCTTGACAGATTTTATTGCTGAGGTTACACCAGCAAAGGGGGAGACTGATGAATTTTCCACACTTCAGACATCAAGCTTGGACATTCAAAGCAATCTAACACCCAGTGAAGACAACCAGGCGCCCAACAAGGATAACTAGATGCCCGACGAGGGCTCCCAGATGCCCAAACCATGCGTCCAGGCCATCCCAAGTGCCCAGACGCCCATGCTAGGCACCCAAACACCCAAGCCAAGGGCCCAAGCACCCCAACCTGCTCCTACAACGATCTCCGAGCCCTCCTTTTTGCCCCTCTGAAACCTTTATGTGGATGATTCCTCGACCAATGAAGGAGGTGGAGCAAACTTAATCCTGATCAGCCCCGAAGGCACCCCCATCAAGTATGCTGTGAAGCTCCACTTCATTACCTCTAACAATAAGGCAGAATATGAAGCCCTCCTCTCTGGCCTAAGGTTAGCAGTAAAGATGAAAACTCATCACCTCAACACTTACAACGATTCCTAGCTGATAGTCAACCAAGTGAAGGGTGAGTTTGAGGCAAAAGGAGCCAAAATACAGGAGTACCTGACCATAGTGAAAGCCTTGATTGCTAAGTTCCAATACTTCGAAATCTGCCATATCCCGAGGGATAACAACATGGCTACGAATACACTAGCCAGGCTCGCCTCATCCTTGAAAATTCCACTAGGGCCAGCATTCATTGGTCATCAGTTTGAAGCAAATAAGTTAGACGTAGAAGCCACAAACGTCAATTATGCGACCGCCGAGTCAAATTGGATAACCCTGATTAGGGTATACCTCCAGGAGGGTGTATTGCCAGATGATCCCCTCAAAGCTAGAAAGCTTATTATGAGAGCCTCCAAAATTACTATTTTACGAGATACCGTGTACAAGAAAGGCTACTCCCTGCCATTACTACGGGTGCCCCTTTCGCCTGAAGAAACTAACTAGGCCCTGCGAGAGATCCATTAAGGGATTTGTGGGAATCACTCTGGAGGATGCTCCTTCGCCCACAAGGTGCTCAGACAAGGCTACTTCTGGCCTAGCATGATGAAGGACGCCCAGGAATTTACCAAGAAGTGTAACAAGTGTCAGCGCTTCGCCACTGTGCCTAAGCAACAAAGATAACATACGCAAAGGTGAAAGATTTTATTTGGAAAAACCTGGTCTGTTGCTTCGGGATACCCTACGTCATTGTCAGCGACAACGCCAAGCAGTTCGACAGCAAGTTCCTGAACTCCTTCTACTCTGACCTTCAAATAAAGTAGCCTCATTCCAGCCCAGCACACACGCAAGCAAACGAACAAGCAAAAGTCATCGTGAGAACGGTGCTACACAACCTAAAGATAATGCTCAAAAAGGCAAAGGATCTCTTTGGGTTGACGAGCTCCCTAGGCGTATTATGGGCCTACCGAACCACACCAACAACTCCAACTAGAAAAACCCCTTCTCCCTCACCTTTGGAACTGAGGCGATCATCTCTGTGGAGATCGGGGTGCATTCTCTAAGGGTCCAACACCACGACCCTATCACCGACGAGAAAGGACACAATCTCGACTTGGTAGAGGAGGCAAGGAAGATGGCTGTGGTCCGCAATGCAGAGTACAAGCGCCACATGACAAAGTACTATAACTCGAGGGTGAAGCCTCATTCTTTCCAACCAAGAGACTTGGTGCTCAAAAAAGTGATCCTCGCCGCAAAGGATTCACATGAAGACAAGTTGGGACTAAACTGGGAAGGAACCTACCTCATAACAAAAGTGGTAAGGGCAACAAGATACAGAGTTTTGAGGGGAAGGTTTGCCCCATCCATGGATTACTGAGCACCTGAAGAGGTACTATCAGTGACACCTTAAGAGAGTAGAAAAATTGGGGACTTGCTTTTACTTTTTGTACTTTTTTGGGGGTTGTTACCCAATATTGCTTGACATGAGCAATGAATAAATAAAACTTTCTAAATTTATTCCAAAAGATCTTTACATTTTTGTATTCAAATTCAAAGGAGTATCAGTGGCAAAAAACCATTTTTACAAAAGTACGGCTACAAAATGATTTCATAAAAAAAAAATCAAAAGTCCTTAGTACTCTAACTACTCTCATGGTCGTCCTCATCCTCCTCATCATAACCCTCGACATTGTCAAAGCCGACATCACTGTCATCAGGTGCCTCAGTTGGTCAGAAGCCTGAGATATCAATATTAGGGAAAACAATAAAAATCTTTCCCCGAAGCTCCTCATAACTGTCAATGAAAGCATCTGTAAGGCCATTCTCTAGGTCCACCTCATCTCGAGAAGCTCTCTTCTGAGCAGCCTTCACCTCTGCAGCTCTGTGGCAGCCTCTCTAAGCATGACTCACTCGCGGGTCTCTGTAAGCTTAGCCTTACTAAGCATGGCCCTCACAAGCCTCCACAAGCTCAGCCTCCCTGAGCGCGTCCCTCTCACAGGTTGCCAAAAGCTCAGACTCAAGTTTAGTTAGCCTCTCACAGGCCTCCACATGCTCAGCCTTGAGCTTGGCCACCCTCCCATGGGTCGCTGAAAGCTCAGTCTCAAGCCTAGTTGCCCTCTCATTGGTCGCCACAAGATAAGTATCAGAAGCCCTGCCAGCAGCTTCAAGTTCAGCAATCCTCCCTTGAGTAGCAAAGAGCTCCTTTTATATAACATCATGATCCTGTTTCAACTTACCGTGAGAATAGGCCCTTGAAAGTAAACACATAGATGCAGTAGAAGTCTGAAGAAAGATAAAGGTCAAAGCAATGTCAGAAGCTTAAGAAGGGACTCGAGAAAAGGAGACAACAGACCCTTACCTAACGATTCCCTCAGTGCCCAGAGCATTAATCTCGCAAATATCATTGAGAAACACAAACCTCTCAAGTCCATCCTTTATAATTGAAGCATTACCCAACATGGAGCCAAAAGCTGTGGCCAGTAAGGGGAACTTTGGAGTAAGAGATGCAATTGAAGGAGTCTCCGACTGAGGAGGCACCACATGAGGGGTCGCTTGATTAGGAGCGCACCCGGGTACCACTAGAGTGGTTGCTTGAGGAAAGCACACCTTAGGCAGCACCGTTGGAGTCGTCGTCTGGGACGTATCGTCCGTTGTCGCCTCCTTAGGAGGAAGAAGGGCTCCTACTAGAAAAGCGGGACCCAATCACCTTTCTATCTACTACTACAAAGGAAATAAAGGGTTATCTAGATGAAAAATCCAAGAAAAGGGGAAAAAGTAAAAGAGAATTAGCATATATTTTTTCTTTTCAAAGAGGGTCCCGGAGATGATCTACCAGCCCCACCACCGTGTTTGGACAGAAGGACTCCAAAGTCTTTTTCAGTATGGGCCCTCACGGCTTGCAACTTCCATTCTTGGTTCTTAGAAAGCACAGAAGGATCTGTAAGATGAATGATGAGTAACAAAAAAAATGAGAGAAAGTAAGTGTAAAACATACCAAGTTTCTTAGGGTACCAAAGCCCTATCGGCCTCTACAGTCCATTCTCCGTCGATAAATATAAAGCGAGATTTTCAACTATGACAATTGGAGCGCAATCCAATGATCATCTTGTCTCTTGTCGTAAAACAATAACAACCCCGATTGGGAGCAGGGGTCTAGCTCAAAGTGTAAGCTCCATGAAACTCGACAAGAGAGACATCCTCATGGTGTACCCTCTTCCACAATACTAGAAAGCATAGTAAAACTCTCTAACCATTGGGCGACAATCACCCCGGTGTGAATAAAAAATAATGGAGAATGCAACAAATAGAAGGAGACATGGGGAACTTGAGCCTAACCTCAAACATCTGCTCATAGACGGCAATGTCCCCAGAAGAGTCACAAGAGGCACCCATCTCAGCTCGACAGCACCGCACAGTCAGAGGAATATGATAAACAAAAATAATCCTCATAATATCATCGTCAGTATTGAGCATACTAGAAATGATACTTACTTTGGACCCATCATCATTAAGAGCCACTTTTGCCTCAATGTTTTTTGTTGCAAGGACGGGAAGAATTGCCTAAGCCATCACTAGGGAGATCTTGAGGAATCAGAATTTGAGGAGTTTCACTCAAAGGAACTGGCCCATCACTGATGCCAACTCTCCTGGCCGCATGGTCTGCTCACTCATTCACCTCGCACGCCCAAGCAATTCACCTAGGCTGTCCAGATCAGAGCCTATGGGTGCCTGCACAACTCTCCTCCCTCTGATCTGCTCGTTTAGGCCGCTTGAGTAGGCGCCCAAACCAGCCTGCTCACCACCCCCCATGATGCACGTCTGGCCCTTTATGGCTTGGTCGCCCACCAGGCCGAGCCGCTCGCCCCTTTGCTCCACCGCATAGATAACGCGCCCAATCTGCCCCAAATCAGTGCCTTGGACGCCCAAGTTGTCTCCAATCAATGAAACATGAAGGGAAGCACCATTCTGCTCCATGGGCGCGCGAGCAAAGGTGGCGGCGAACGCCCCAAGCACCTCAACACTGACGCCTACCTCCTCTTCCTCTTGACTGTTTTGATCACTACAACCTCTTGATTATCTCCTTCCCTTGCCATGGATTCCAAGCACAACTCAAGAAGCTCCTTGAAATATTTTTGGGAAATAAAGCTTTCCTTCACTCTCTCAAAGTTTCTATGGAATGGGGAAAAAGCTTATATTTATACCAAGGGTTTTTCTAAATCCTATTGAAGGAAGGAAACGACAAAAAGCCCCAAACTACAACCTAGTGCTCTTCAAGAATCCAAAAAAGGAAAGGAATGAGGGAATTTGTATAGTCAAGGGAATCCTACAAGCAAAAGGAGTCTATTGGGAGGGAGGAGGTCGTTGATCAAGAGGATTTTTCAAAAAATTCAAATTTAACAAGGGTTGCATGCTATTTTGACCGTAACTTTTGATCTGAAACTTTAAACAAGGCTTATTATATATAAAATCGAAGCTGTCAACGAATCTTACAAAACTCATTGCCTTTGGCAGTGAAAGACGTTGTAAAAAGTCAAAAAAAGGCCCAGAAATAGATATTTTGGCCTCCCCAAAGTTTCTTTTAAATTTTTTTTTTCAGTTGCCTACTCGGCCTAAGAGGCTATCTGCTCGCCCAAAATCGTGCACCCAGCTCCTGCTCGCTATTTTGACTGCAACTCTCGCTCCGTTACTCTAAATGGGGTCCATAATATATCAAATCAAAAGCTCTCGGCAAACCCTACAAAAAAGGCCTAGAAAGACAACTTAGTGCTCTTCAAGAATCCAAAAAAGGAAAGGAATGAGGGAATTTGTATAGTCAAGGGAATCCTACAAGCAAAAGGAGTCTATTGAGAAGGAGGAGGTCGCCGACCACAAGGAGTTTTCAAAAAATTCAAATTTAAAAAGGGTTGCACACTATTTATAAAATTGAAACTCTTGACGAATCTTACAAAGCTCACTGCCTTAGGCAGTGAAAGACACTGTAAAAGGTCCAAAAAGGCCCAGAAATAGATGTTTTGGCTCTCGAAGTTTCTTTTTAAATTTTTTTTTTCAGTTGCTTGCTCGGCCTAAGAGGCTGTCTGCTTGCCCAAAATCGTGCATCCAGCTCCTGCTCGCTATTTTGACCGCAACTCTCACTCCGTTACTCTAAATGGGGTCCATAATATATCAAATTAAAAGCTCTCAGCGATCCCTACAAAAAAGGCCTAGAAATACAGGTTTTGGCCTCCCGAAATTTTTTTCAATTATACTGGTAAGCCAAAAATTCAAACTCAAACTGAATACCTTCCTTTCCAAGTTTCGTTAGACGCATGGTATTGGGGGCAAATGATGGGCCAAGTTCAAAGGCCTAACTCATGTTATAAGCCTGATCCGAGTTAAAGGCCCAATTCTAAGAGATCCACCAAGTTCAGTCCAATGTGGTCAACCTGATTAAGCTCATCAAGCTCAAGGAGCTACATCTAAGAGTCTCATCCTAGCCGCGTTGGAAAGAGTCAAAACCTTACCTTATCTTTTGACCGAGTCCTACCTCCGCCGAATCAGTTATTTAATTACCATTAACTCACCTCAATTCGTTATGACCGTCAGACTAACTATTTAATTACTATGTGTTATGTGGCGACTATAAAATATAAGCCCCGCCAACACTTGAGGGGCAACACACACTCATTCGGGCATAATTCTCTCCTCATCCCTCTCAAAGCTTGTAATTTTTTGCTCTCCCTACACACATAAGTTAATAAAATACCGACGACCCTTGTCATTCAAAGTGGATATGAGTTATGTTGACCAAACCACTATAAATCTTGTCTCGCTCTCTATCTCTCTATCTCTCCTTATTTTACTGCATTTTATACTACTTGGTTGACAGGTTGTGTGTAAACCAATTTGTACATACACCGAGGCAAAAATAGCTCTTGATGACGATGGATCCAAAGTGGATGTAGGTAATGTTGGCCAAACCACTATAAATCTTGTCTCTCTCTCTCTCCCTCTACTTATTTTATTGTATTTTATATTGTTTACTTGGCAGGTTGTGTGCAAACCAATTTGTGCATACACCGAGGCAAAATAACTCTTGATGATGATGGGTCCAAAGTAAGTACCCTTTCTAGTATACTCAATACTGATGATGATAGTATGAGGATTGTTTCTGCTTATCATATTCCTCCGACTATGCTATGCCGTCGAGCTGAGATGAGTGAGCCGCCTCTGATGACTCTTCTGGGGGCATTGTCATCTATGAGGAGATGCTTGAGGCTGGGCTTAGGTTCCCCATGTCTCATTCTATTTATCACATTCTCCATTATTTTTCACTCACACCGGGGTTTTACTGTGCTTTCTAGTATTGTTTTACCACGAGAGACAAGATGATCACTGGACTGGACTGCGCTCCAACTATCATAGTTGAAAATCTCACTTTATATTTTTTGGCAAAGAATGCACAGCAGAGGCTGATAGGATTTTTCGGTACTAAGAGGACCCCTAAGAAACTTTGTATGCCTTACTTACTTTGTCTTCTTTTTAAGGACCAAGAGTAGTTGTAGGCTGTGAGAGGGCCCATACTAAAAAAGATTTTGGAGTCTTTTTGTCCAAAGATGATGGTGGGAACAGTAAATCATCTCTAGGACCCTCTTTAAAAAGAAAGTATGTTAAATTATACCTCGGACAACACCTCTCCAACAGTGTCGCCCGAGGTGTGCTCTCCTCAAGCAACCCCTCCGGTGGTACCTCCGATGGTGCCTCCTCAGTCAAAAACTTCTTCAATTGCATCTCCTATTTCAAAGTTTCCCTTGCTGGCCACATCTTCTGCCCCCTGTTCATCTATTCCTCCTGTGGGAACTTCCAAAAGGGCACCGATTCAGATAAGCTCCATGTTGGGTAATGCGCAAGTTCTAAAGGATTGACTTGGGAAGGTTTGTGTTTTCCAACGATATTTGCAAGATTAGTGCTCTGGGCACCAAGGGAATGGTTAGCTCTTTTTTGGAAGGCCTGGCTCAGGTAAGGGTTTGTTGTCGTCTCCCTTTCTCCAGTCCCTCCTTAGGCTTCTGAAATTCCTTTGGTCATTCTCACAGCAAGCTGAAGCAGGATCATGATGTTGTGCAAAATGAGCTTTTTGCTGCTCAGGGGAGGATTACTGAGCTTGAAGCTACTGGTAGGGCTTCTGATACTGATCTTATGGCGACTCGTAAGAAGGCGACTAGGCTTGAGACTGAGCTTTTGATGACCCATGAGAGGATGACCAAAGGTGAAGGCTGTTCAGGAGAGAGCAGCTTGGGCTGAGGTGGACCTGGATAATGGCCTTGTAGATGTTTTCATTGACAGTTGTAAAAGTGGTTTTTGCCACTGATGATGCTCCTTTGAAGTTGAATACAAAATTGCAAAGATCTTTTTTGGAATAAATTTAGAAAGTTTTATTTATTCACTGCTCATGTCAAGCAATATTGGGTAACAACCCCCCAAAAAGTACAAAAAGTAAAACCAAGTCCCCAATTTTTTTACTCTCTTAAGGTGTCACTGATAGTATCTGTTCAGGTGCTCAGCATTCTATGGATGGGGCAAAACCTTCCCCTCAAAACTCTGTATCTTGTAGGTGTCATGCGGTGCTTGTACGCCGTATTGCGGACCACAACCATCTCCTTTGCCTCCTCTACCAAGTCGAGGTTGATGGAGTCCTTCCTCATCGATGATGGGGTTATGGTGTTGGATCCTTAGAGAATGCACCTCGATCTCCATAAAGGATAACCGTCTCAGTTCCAAAGGTGAGGGAGAAGGGGGTTTCTCCAATTAGAGTTCTTAGTGTAGTTCGGTAGGTCCATAATACTCTTGGGGAGCTCGTCAACCCAAAGACCCTTAGCCTTTTCGAGTCTTGTCTTTAGGTTGCATAGCACCGTTCTCACTATGACTTCTGCTTGTGCGTTTGTGGGTACGTAGGGCTGGAATGAGGCTGCTATATTTGAAGGTTAGAGCAGAAGGAGTTTAGGACGGGAAAAGTTGCCTGAGCCACCAGCAAGGAGATCCTGAGGAATCAGACTTTGAGGAGTTTCACTCAAAGGAACTGGCCCATCGCTCCCCTCCACCTCGCGCGCCCTAGCAGCTCTCCTAGGGTGTCCGTGCGCCCAGGCAGCTCACCCAAGTTACCTGATTTGCTCGCTTAGGTTACCTGAATAGGCGCCCAAACCAGCCTGCTCGCCCCTCTTGATGCACGCTTGGCCCCTCGTGGCCTACTCGCCTAAACCATGGGCAATGGGCAGCTCACCCACCAGGCCGTGCCGCTCGCCTCTCTGCTCCACTGCGCGGATAACGCGCCCAATCTGTCCCAAATCAGCTCCTTGGGCACCCAAGTTGTCTCCATCATGGTCTCCAATCAACGGATCATGAACGACAGTGCCATTTAGCCCCAACGACAGCGAACGACCCAAGCACCTCCACGCCGACGCCTACCTCCTCATCCTCCTCTTCGTTTTCGATCACTACAACCTCCTTGAAGGATTTTTGGGAAATAAAGCTTTCCCTCACTCTCTCAAAGTTTATATGGAATTGGGTGGAATGGGGAAAAAACTTCTATTTATACCAAGGGTAAATTTAACACACTCATTTGGACATAATTCTCTCCTCACCCTCTCAAAGCTTGTAATTTTTTGCTCTCCCTACACACCTGAGTTAATAAAATACCGGCGATCCTTTCCATTCAAAGTAGACGTAGGTCATGTTGACCGAACCACTATAAACCTTGTCTTTATCTCCCTCTACTTATTTTACTTAATTTTATACTACTTATTTGACAGGTTGTGTGCAAATCATTTTGTGCATCATCAGAAATAAAAGCATTCGAGTCACCAATTACAACAAAGCATATCAACACAAAACAGAAACGGAATAAAATTTTCTAAAGATTAGGCAGGAAAATCAAATACCAGATACCAGAATCAAATAGAAGGATACCCACTTGCTTTAAACAGGGTAAAATCCTCAAAAAACCAGAAAGAGAAATCGAAAAAGAGTGAACTTGTTTGAAAATAGAAGAAAACATACACTTTCAATCCAAAAAAAAATTACCCAGAAAGGCCATAACAAACAATACAATTGTATTGGGTGTAAATCACAGACCCAGAAGCTTGAAGAACGGAAAAAGGAAGAAGACGCAAACCCAAATATTCAAAATGCCAAGAACCTTGATATCTGAAAACTTAGAGACCTTGAAATGCTAGGAAATACCAAATCAAACATCACAAATATGCAACCCATTAAAACACACACACACATAGAGATTG